ATTAGTTAGTCCAGGCCACATTTTTTGTTCAACTTTGGGCATGATGATAGATAAAACAAAATAAGCATCCTAGCAAACTGATGAATGAATATTTGCTGTAAAATTCTTAACAATGCTATAATTGTATCTATCAGTTTGACCACCAATTCTGATTTCATTCCTTTAATTTGCAAGCTCAATCTTTTTTTGGTTGCATCTTTTTTCACACCTAAAGTGTTTTTGATTAGATATCATGACTTTTTGTCAATACACACCAACAAACCACAGCAAGTAAGAAAGTGATATTCGATAGTAACCAACATTAGCCTAGGATCGCAACACTATTATTCGGAACAGACCTATACTTTATAGAACCAACCAGATTCTTTAAAATATAAGGTGGTAGTTTTCCTCTAAAACAGTGCTTATAACTTCCTTTATAGTAATGCCATAGAATCTAGATTAACAGTTTCTTGTAATTACCTACATGTACTTGGTACAACCATATCAAGCATCCTTATTTATGCTAATTGCTTAAGCTAATATCATGTGACACTAAACACTCTTTTAATTAGAAGAATTTCCTCAAATTTACCAAATATCAGCTTAAAAGTTGGCAATGAACAATAACCATCCACCCATACAATTTTCTGAAAACTTGAGCACAAAACTGCTAATCTAGTTTGCTTGGCCTAACCAATACTTATGCATCTGTACATGGTTTCATCCTACAATTTTGCTACTTTAAGTTAGACATCTTTAATCCAAGTGACATAAAACTTAAAACTTTTACTCTTAGATGAAACTTTAGAAAAAATTTAGACCAATAGCTCACGTGACTTTTTGCATAAGCATGCATAAAAAGTTTGGCCAAAATTGAGTGGTTTTTGTTTAATACCTTTGCACAAGTGGCTTATAGTTAGACCAAATCTGACACCTAATTGTAGGTTATAAAGATCTATCTGTGTACCAAATTTGAAAAAAATCCATAAAAGTATGTTTTTTCTATCAAATAAAGGTTCCATATTTTTGTTGTTGCAAAACAAAAAAAGAAAAAACAAAGAAGTTCAATCAACATCCACTGAAAATATATAATAGTTTAGATTACCACAGTCCAAGCTACAGAAAGTGGAAAATTGCTAAACAATCACTCCTGTTAATAACACACAGTGTGTTCTGCAGGTTGTTTTGGCCACATGACACACTACTGTGTGTCTTGATATATACCCAGACACTGAAGTGTTGAAGCTAGTTTCCCTCTCTTAAGTTACTTTTCATACAAATTGTCCATTTGTCATTGTACACCCAGGATCATCTAGTATTCCATTTCTCACATACATTCCATACAGTTTTTCTTTCTCTTACAACATGTCTGTAAAAAAGCTTGTGGTTTATGCTTCTTTAAAAAAAAACAAGACCTCTGTGAATTACTGAGTATGGCATAACTTTTTAGCCTCTTTCTCAGTGGGCATGTTGGATGAGATTCCTGAATAAATAAGCTATTTATACAAAAAAGTGATTGTGGATAAATTACTTTGTTGGAATTACAACTTGTTCACTATGACATGGATATAAAACCCAGGACCCTTGATTCGTACTAGTGTACATAACCAAACAATGCTTATCCCTCAGCACAACACAAGTCACCAACACATAACACTAGACTGGTAACACACACACACTACACCTTGTTAACCAATAAGCCAAGATGGTTCAGTTCATCACCTACTATGAAAATTGGGCATTAATGTATCATGATGCTAAGAAATCTGCCTTGACCAGGTTTGAGCTAGAGTTTGAAGCAAAACTAGCTAACAAAACTAAAAACCCAAGCAGATAACCTCCATCCTGATAATTACAATAAACAGAACTACAGGTACCATGTTTTGACTTATTCTATTATGTAAAAATCCAGGAATGATTGGAAAATAGTCAACTTACCAAGATTGTTTAAAAGTGTGATATGCATGCATATCATATATTTTCTATCTCCTTTATAAATTAAGAATTTTGTATAAAAGTTTAGTTTAGTTTCATTCTATGCAGTTTTAGCACAAACATGTGGTCCAGAAAAACAGCGATTTCTTTTAATCTAGTTGCCTTTCTTTCTATAGCAGATAGTATCTACTTTGCCAGTGGGGATGTTGCTGCAACTTTGCATATTGTGCAAAACAGATCAACCACAGCGATGTACTTCACTGGCTGAATAGACTATGTCTAGAATTAACAGCATTTACATTTTGTAAGAGAAGGACCAGTAATGTGGTGACACTTAACACTTATGGGTCAGAACAGACCAACGTCAAGTTCTACTTCGTTCAAGATGTTAATCCTTCAAAAGAAAGTCTTCACAACAGCTAATAATTGTTCAGTGGCATAGGAAGCCCCCCCCCACACACACACACACTTTTCAATCATCAAAATTTAAAAAATTACTCTCAGGAAAAGCAGGAAAATTTATAAAATTTAATCCAGAACCTAAGATCTTCCAGGGCCCTAAGGCAAGCCCAGGAACCTGGTAGTAACGGGAATGCCTATGGCACACATTCCTTCTCTTTGCTTGGTCAAATAATAACCATACCCCCCACTTTTAATTTGTCTCCTACACTTCTTATGTTAATTGGTTCATTGATCCAGTATGAAAGTGACTGTCCAATGGCCATACAAGTACGCACATTGTGTTTCATATGAATAGAGATTGTGATTCACCTTACATCACATGTCCAGTCTGTTTATGTCTTAGCTTAAAACTCAGTCATTTAGTTAAATTCAAACTTACTTAAAATGTTCCTGATCAATCCTCGTGTTATAAAGTGTTCCTGATACCTGCACAAAAATTAGTTTACCTGAGTATACCATAAGAACCTATTGTTTATATTATTTAGGTCCAAATGTAAAGAAAACTTTCCAAACTTGGCTAAATATTCAAGATAGACACAAAAATTATTTTACCTGAACTTTTCTTTTCTTTTTACGTGTATAAGTTTCTTCATAATCTTCTACATCAGACTCTGGGTCATCATGTCCTCCAAGATCAGGAAATTCACTTAGATCTTCAAACTCCCTGAACCACAGATCTTTAGAATCTTCAGTGAGTTTTTCAATGTTGTTCTCTCCTCCATCTTCCAGTCCAAACATAGCATTTTCCACAACGCTGATTTGGCACATATCTAGAATCCATACAATCCAAAATCAGTACTTAAACAGAAAGTTACAGATTAAGGCAGTGTGGATGTTTGTACAAAACACTTAACTCCAAATGAATGTTGCTAAGACTACTATAAAATATTTCTAGGAAAAAGAGTTTAAACTAAAATGTATATCTTTTATGATATTGAAAAGACAAAAAGTTGATGATTCCATCCACATAACTGTACCTCATATTACCAGTTATTCCACAGACAAGTGGATATCACTCTTACAGTGTAGTCTAAATATATTTCATGAAAAGTCTAGATATACAGTATTTATTATTGTTTTTAAAGATACCACATTTGAATGAAATGCACCACCTCCATCAGTGACATCTTTTTCTCGTATCCTTCTAGTTAAGTACCTGTCATTCATCAGGTACTGCCAACGTTTCTTTTTCCAACGTCTAGCAGGATAAGTGTATAACTGTCCTACATTTTGGCCAGGCATTCTCTGCCATTTTGGCATCCATAAATTCGAATCACTCTGAGCAACCCCAGTTTGAGCATCTAAGAATGGAAGTCGAGTTTTCCTTTCTATACATAGATGACTGTTATAGTTGGCAGAATTTTCCACAGCTTCTCGATACGATGAGTCATTTAAGATTCTGAAATATTAGGAAAATGATTTTACACAACTTATAGTAACATATTTATTCTGAGCAAGTGTTTAAATTTTTCCTCACAATTATTACTCTGTATTTAATATAAAACAACAAGAGTTAATCAATTACTTATGAGCATCAATAACACTGGTTAGTGACATATAATATAATCGATTAATCAAAATCAGTGTTTCTAATTATTACCTTTTTTTACTACTCCAATCATCCAAGTAATACTGCCATTATGATTTATTATTTTAATCAATTCACATTGCTCTGCTTAATCCATTAGTGTCACAACTCACAAAAATAATTAACAAACATAAATCAGTGGTTCTAAGTATTAATAATTGATTATGTGATGTGAAAATAATCCATTAGTTAAATGTAACTGATTAATGAGCCTAATGATTGACAGATTATCAAATAAACTAATTTCCCAGGAAAAAGATAGGCTAAACTCCATTTAAGAAATTAAACTGAAATAGAAAGTTTTTTACATTATCATCTAAAGAGTAAAGTTTTTTTCTCTAGCTTTATTGTCAAAATGTTCATTTAAGGCATTTTATTATTTCAAACAGGATCATTAGAGCTGGGCAATTAGTGGCATTTGCTAATCAATTAATCATTAGCCTCATTAATCAATTAGTACATTGTTCTTCAAAACTAATACATATAAACAAAAAAAAACAAAAACTAGCTGGCAGGAAATGCCAGCCAGTTGCCTTCCCTCTAATTAGCAGTTCAAATAAAACATTAAAAAACATCGGAAGTGGATGCTGATTTCCCTCTTATCAGTAGTTCATATAAAACATTAAAAAACATTGGAAGTGGATGCTGCTTGCCCTCTTATCAGTAGTTCATATAAAACATTGGAAGTGGATGCTGCTTTCTGTCTTATCAGTAGTTCAAATAAAACATTGGAAGTGGATGCTGCTTTCCCTCTTATCAGTAGTTCAAATAAAACATTGGAAGTGGATGCTGCTTTCCCTCTTATCAGTAGTTCAAATAAAACATTGGAAGTGGATGCTGCTTTCCCTCTTATCAGTAGTTCAAATAAAACAACAAAAAAAAGTTTAAGAAGGGTTCTCCCAACCAGTTGTCTTACCTTTACAAAAAAATAAAAGTTGGAAGCAATTGCTCCCAGCCATTTGCTTTCCCTCTAGTCAGCAGTTTAAAGTTAGTAACAGTGCCAGATAGCCTTAGTAGCTTTGCCATAATAAAGAAAAGGTTGGCAAGTTTAATAGCAATAGGAATCAAACCTTGGACCTTTCAATCACAATTCCCATCCGTTCCCTGAATCATCAAAGTCGAATAAACTTGTAAGTCTAAAATTGGACAGAGCACAGGTAGCAGTATTTTGATTACTTGGATAATTGGAATAATCAAGAGCAGTAAGCAACAAGTGAAAACACAAATTATGATCAACTGATTTAATGGTAATTTTAATTAATTGATTAGTTTACATGACACTAATAAATTTAATCACTACTCAGCTCTAAGGGTGATTAGTTTAGTTACCATCAGCTGTAGCGGAGGCCGGCACTTTACATCAGCTGTAGTGTAGGTCGGCACTTTACAAGAAAATGTATGATTTGCTGAAAAATTAACTCTAGGTTGTTGTTTTTTTCTTTGGGGAAGGAGACATGGACAAGCTTGAAGGACCAAATAAATGATCCAGTTGTCCATATGTTTTGCATAATGATACAATTTATATTTTACTGTTCACAAATAATGAAAAAATCTGTTATACAGTTAACGAGAGAGCATATACTCTAGTTTTAAATTTTCCTTTCAAATTTTTACTTGATGCTCTGAAAACCTTAATCATATAAATGTTTATAACTTTGTAGCATATAATTATGTTTTCTTCTCTTTCCCTAATAGTCAAGTATAGGATCAGTAATTTCAACATGGCAGACAACTGAATTATGCCTTCTGAATACATTGAATGGAAGAGCAGTGATGACACTATAGAGAACATTACTGAATATGCACTCTTCCAATACTGAAATGTTTCAGTTTTTAACATGAGTTCTTTGGCCAAAGTACCTTTCCTTGACATCATCATCATTAGAGAAGCAAACAGAAACATACTGACTTCCATTTACCAGAAACCTTTCCCTGTCACAACTTTGCAACACAATAAATCTTGTATTTTCATATAGATTCAGCTTTCTCTACTTTTGTTTAAAGAACTCTTACAATTTTTTTCTTCTAATTATTATCTCAATGGGAAAATTAAAATTCTTAAAATTATTGCAAAGGATGGGAGCACAATGATAATGTAATTGTAATGTCTTTGAAGAAAAGCAAAAAGTTGACAATGGTATAGTCAAAAATGAAATTAACCCCATTCATAAATATATACCTAGTTTCACTATAAAACTGAGTATAGTTTTTTAATTACATTCAAATAAACCATTTATTTATCACCCTTAAAAACAGAAAATGTTTTACCATCACTTAAAAATTGTTGTTAATAAATGCTGTGATTACAAGATTCAGTGTTTTTGTGCTAAAATTATACTACACTGGCCAGACTGTTAAAATTTAAAGGTAAAACTTAAAGAACACCATAGTAATGTTAGAAAAAAAAAAAAAGAGTCCAAATTAGATGAGCATCACAAAATACAGATCATATTTTATGGCACAAATATGAATTTCTGTTTAATTATTCCTGCATTTAAAAAACTAATTTCCACAAATCAAGACTTGGGTCCTACAAGGGCATTACAAAATCTTGGAATACTGTATTCACTAATAACTAGAATTCCTTAATCTCTATTATATATAGGGCTTACATTTTTAAGTATTGTAAAATGAAAGGTTACATTATTTTCACTCATCTTTTATTATGTTTATTTAACATATTAAACTATAACTGCTAGGTGCCTAGAATTGTTCTTGAACTGTGATTTAAATTTTTCACCTCTGGTAATAGACATGCATGCTCAGCCAACTGAAACATGAGGTCAACTTGTACATATTTCGATTAAAATACTTAATTTCACCAAAAGAAATGTCGCATGGTACTTTAATTTCATGTAATCAAAGTGACATCATACACCTTTCTAAAAAAGCTTCAACTGTACAACTATTTCAATTTTGATTAACACAACATACTGCCTCTACACAGAATATGGAACCTACAAATATGGTCTGTAACCTCTGCATAAATTAGGACATTATGAACACATCAGGTTGTTTTACCTTTATTAAAGCAGTCTTGAACTCATTTATGCTATCACAGTGACTCTGGAAATTTGATCCACAAACATGTAACTATTTATAAAACATTATACTGAAGTAATTTTTGAATATGGTTTAAATAATCATTCAAAGGTTTAGTGGAGGCAATATATTTATCTTAATGATTCTATAAACTACTGACATGTAATCTCTCCATCTTCTATATTCTAAGAATGGCAACTTTGGCTTTTTCATTCTTCCTTATAGGTCATTAATTCCATTCCAAATAATAATATGGTTAAGTTTTCTAGATGTTTCCAATCTTTCAATAAGAGTTCCCCACCTTTCTGTAATACTATAGGTCTGATCTGGGATTTATTCTTAAGATACTTGAATGATCTGTACATAACACTTAATTTTGAATTAGCTTTACAACAAATCTTAGTTCTGTTATTTGAAAACTTATCACAAATATCACCAAGACATCCTCTCAGCTGAGAATGAAATAAAATGAAAATCAGACAGTGTATATTTTGTATATGAAATGCTCACTCTTACAGTCATAATCAACAGATTTACAAATTGCATTATTGAATGATAATCGTATCATACTCAACATTCAGTAAGATTTAGTGTGGTATGCTACAAGCTCATTGTTCACACAGATGTTTATAGATCTTAGCATCATCTAGAAACAACAGTATCTATATATCAATGTGAACATTAATGTCTTTCACATTAATAGAATAACCTATGAGACTTAGAACAGATAACTGAGGTAATTTACTCAATATAGGTGACAAATTTGAGAATATATCATTGACCACTACTTACTGTAAGAAACTGCCAACTTTTCTTTTGTACCATTTGCTTTCAATTTGTTTAACAACTACTCATACGATACACTATCAAAAACATTCCTAGCATCCATGTTAGTCGAATGAAGTTTCATCTTACATTTTGTTAATGCAAAAATTTGTGTCCTAGATAAAAAAAGATCAACTGGATGGAGGAAAACTCATTACATATTCACAGGATGCATATAAAATGGGAACTAGAATGCATCTTAACCCTTTCCTGAATGGAAGGGTGTCACTGAATTTTTTGTTCTGACAGTAGTAACACTTTACCAAACTGCATGAAATTTCTAATAAATTTATTAAATACTTAAACAGTCTCTAATTTTGGCTTTAAAAATTCATAAAGTTTGATTAGTTTTTCTATAATTTTTTATGTTATGAAATGTCCCAAATTTTTTTTGAAAGACTTTTCTTTGAAAAAAAATGTTTTCCCTTAGTAAAAGAATTTCAAATTTTTCAAATGTTCATCAAAAAAGTCTTACAATCTTATTCTCAACTCACAAAGAAGCCACTCAACTGCACAGCAAGGTGAAGACTTGATGATCCTTTCAATGGAAAGGCTCAACATCCAACGCTCCAACTAAAACCACTCGATCAAAATGTTCACAATTGTAGACAAGCACAAGTTCTGACTTCAAATATTTACAATCACTTCATTTTAGATACATGGTCTTACTGTTCTTTAAAGGACAAAATTGAGAACATTATTTGTTGCTTTAATGAAACTGTTCAACCATTTTTATTTTTTAATTGGTTTTTGAATAAATATGACTGAAAATAAAAATCCTGGATGATACATCATTTTTTATTTTGCAATTCAGTTCCCAGAATTTGTTTTACATCAATTGTGAAACAAGTTCTACAACTAATATAATCTATATCTTGTTTTTCAATGTAAATTCTTTTAGGAAAATAGTTCTATAAGTTACAAATCAAACCAATTTTAAATTG